GAACGGCGGCATCATAATAGATCTCGAGCTTCTCTCTGAAACGTTCTAAAAATGACTTATTAACTCTTTTATCTTTGTTACACAATACGCGATGTCACTAGTTTTTTTTTTGCAAAATATCGTACAGAATATCCGTTTCTGCAAAAATATTTTAAAAGAAAATTAAATTCAAATTCTTTCATAATAAATAAAAATGAACTGACCTGTGTCAGTGTTACACCATCCCAGCCTTGTGTATTTTCGTTCATATTTTCAAACAATTCTAGGAGGTGGGTGGACGCATTATTAATTACATTAACCGTGCGCGAGTGATATGTCCACCTCGTTTCCGCGACACGAGGCAGCTTTTTCATATCGGCAAAGTTGTTGTAATGGGTCTATCGCTTTGTACTGGTTTGAAAAAAAGCCGCAATTGATTGTATAATACTAAAAAAGCGTTTTGTTTCAGCAACTCGTTCAAACGATTTCGATAAAACTAAATTTAATATATGTGCTGAACACCAAACGTACATAGCTTGTGGACATTTTTGTCTCACCAAAGCCTGCACGCCCTTAATTTGTGAGGATAAAACTGCTGCCCCGTCGTAAGTTTGTGCAACTAATTTGGATACACAATCGAACTCTTCTAAAATTTCCAAAATTATAGAACTTAAGGTTACAGCGGTCCGATCGGCGCTGACATCAACATATTTGATAAATCGATCTACTACTTCAGAATCACGAAAATATCTCAAAACTAATACTAATTGTTCACGGCCGCTAACATCAGGAGTCTCATCTACAATGACGGCGACAAAATCGGACTGTTTAATTTCGGCTTTAACGCGATCGATCATCACAGATGCAACGCTCGATATCAAATCATTCTGCGTACGGTTCGACATTCCCTTGAACGAGGTACTTGCACTCTGTAAATGGGTTTCTAAAACTCCATCATACTTGGCTAATTAATCTACTATTTCTAAATAATTACCCCTGTTCAACGACGATACTGACTCATCGTGACCGCGAAAAGCTAATTCTTGTTTTCCCAGAAAGCAAACAACATCGATCAGCCTTTGAAAAATGTTTCTATTGCGATCGACTTTAGCATTATGCCTCTCAATATCTAATCGTAACTGACTGTTGATACTCATTTCAATACGACATTTACCAAAAGTATTTAATTTTAAGCAGGCCTCCAGATGTTTTTCTGTATGGTCATGCTTCTTTGCTGCGGAATAGAAATTATTTAAATCTGAATATCCCGAATCAGTCCACACTGTACTAGAATTACTAAACAATATGCAAGGAAAACAATATAATTTAATCGTGTGTACACAACCACACAACCACACAGCCAGTTATACGTTTCATAACTTTTAACATGAAACTTGCGAGTTACATTTCCTTTTTGCTGGTTTAATAGTTGTAACTCGGGTACACACCTACCTTTAGACACAATTTTAATCTTTTCACTGAATGGCAATTGTCAGAACTTGTTATTTTTAATAGACATACATTATCCACACATAACTCACAATCAAATAACATTTTTAAAAAATCAACGGAACTCAGTAATAAACTGTTAAATGTACACACTTTCAAATTAAACTATAATTATACTGGCGGAAAGAAAATAGTAAACAATGCTTATCACATGAAAAAATCAATATGGCCCCCGCGAACAAGAAACATATCTGCTAATTAAACAAATAAAACCTTACCATATTCAAAATTCATAATCCGCATACATGATTAATTATATTTCTGACTATTGTAATTGGGTGGATATATAGGCAACGAAAACTGCCGATTATACCCGACAACGATTAGCGCGGGACCCGACACCCGAAGGCCAACTGCAGTATCCTGCGGCTGTAGTCGGGCATATAAAATAAATGGTTGTGTGCGTATGCGAACTGTGCACGGACACCAAAATTACTACACACATGCAAACAAATGTCCTGCGCGAGGCGACGGCATGAGTTGCTTTGCGCTTGCTTTTCGGTAAACACCTGGCAAACAATGTTTGTGTGGTGCTATGCTATTTATAAATAGTACGCGTTTTTAAGTTATTATATTTTGTTTTTTCATTTATTTACTATTAATTAAAGTCATCTAAAACGTACCAACGTTTTATTAAAATGTCTGTGAATAGCAAGTAAAGCACTGCATTTCTGCCTACAAGGAGCGAACGCCCCTGGTGAGCAATAAAAAAAATCTATTTCATCCGCAATCATATTCAGAGTACGTAGTGAGCGCGTCAGCGGTGCTTCTCTCTGCAGGTTGGTGCGCCCGCACATGTTTATTTAAAAAGTTTATTGTTGTAATTTTGTTTGTTTTTAGAATAGTTTAGTACAATTGCTATGAAAAGTTGACTCCCGATACTGTTTAGTAAATTTTGTTTGTTAACCGACTTCAAAAAAAGGAGGCGGTTCTCTCAGAACTTTTGACTAGGTGAACCGATTTTGATGATTCTTTTTTTTTTTGTTTTGCCAATTAACTCATCAACAGCCTTGAATAGTCCACTGCTGGACTTAGGCCTCTCCTTAGAAAGGAGGTTTTAGCCTACTATACCACGCTGGCCAGACGGGTCGGTATAAGGTTTGTGTCAACTTTTCCTTCTTTTTGCAGTGCTGTTGTTTCATTCCTTTATCAATAACAAAATATTCCCTTACTAATAGCTATTGTAAAATAAAAGTTAATTTTATAAACTGTATTTTTCTGATCTCATCATATTTTTAATCAGCGTTAAAAATTGGAAATGAACTCAAGCAAAACAAAACATATTGAGCGACAAAAATGGAGATGGACAGCGCATATGCTCCTTTGTAAGCATGAAAAATGGAGCAATCAGGTAGCGGTCGCAAAGTGAGAAGATGGGAAGATGATCTAAAATTGACTCTAGGTCCCCTTTGGCTAAGAATTGCAACTGATAGGAAACAGTGGAAGACGTTGGACGAGCATAATGCACACCGAACTTAGGGACATATTACGACTAGTGTACTAGGGATTATTGTGCAGTGTGAAAAAACTGTATAACTTCGGAATTAAAGGCTTATTATTATTATTATCTAAAAAAGGAGGGATCTCTCAATTTAGTTGTGCTTTCTTTATAAACACATTTTTTATGTTTATTTCAGAACTCTGTCATTTATAAATTGACCTGGATAATTTTTTTTTTGTTTGGGATAATAACTTCTCAAATGTTGTGAAAGTGAAAATCAAATTTGAAGAAAAAATCTATACTTAGGGATGGAAAATAAAGTAATGTAGAATATGCTTCTTCATAATAAAGGTGCAATGTTATTGGTTACACTTTTTTCATACCGTCGTTCGTGGTGACTATTTGCCTGGCAAGTGAAAATGTGCAATGAGGGTCCGTTCATATATTTTGGCCAATTTTCACTAGAATTGAGCCTAACAACACATGTTTCGTTCAAAAATAGATTTTTGGATAGTTTCGGAATGATTATCTATTTTTTTTTATTGATACTGGCAACTTTTTTTGACATTATCTGTGATTGAAGTAGAGAACCGGTTTGTCACGTTTTGAGGTTAGGTGTAAACTTTTGGTGATTCAATAAAAACTACCACACGTATCGTTATCAAGGTATGTTTAGTTTATAGTACTATTAATCATTATTAAAATGCATTCAAATCGTATTCAAAATGCTTTGGTTATCACATTAAAACAGGTGTTAAGAATAAAACTCAATTTCGCAGGTGAAAATGTGCCACCATAGTGTTGCTAGAAGGCAGATAAAATGCTACCTACTACCATTTACAAAACTTCTTAAACGGTATAACTGATTTATTTCAGAACTGGAAACATGCCACGAGATTATAAAAGGCCTATTGGATGCAGGTCTTACAAAAACTATACAGAAGAAAAATTTAAAAAAATTTAAACGAAATCAAATCAGGTAAAATCTTAACGCGGGCCGCATCCGGAAAATGTGGCATTCATAGAAACACTTTATCATTAAAATTAAAAAACAAAGCACCATTAAAACACGGAGGGCAAACTGTATTTAGTGAAGAAGAAGAACTTGCTTTGATATCACACATAACTGCATTGTGAGCCTTTGGATTTCCAATAACAACACTAGAGCTACGCTGTATTGCTAAATCGTATTTGGAGAAACAATGTAGAAAGGTGCCGAAATTTGCTAACAATTTGCCAGGCAAGGAGTGGGTTTATTCGTTTTTAAAGCGTCACAAGTCACTGTTGTCCAATCGAGTGGCTAGGAATATAACCCATGGTCGAGCAGAAATAAACGAAGTTGTTGTTAACGAGTTTTTCGATAACTACGAAAAAGAAACCGAAAATGTCCCTGACACTAACATTTAGAATTATGACGAAACATGCTTAGTTGATGACCCAGGCTCAGTAAAAGTTCTGACTAGAAGAGGGACGAAGTATCCCGAGACCATTAAAAACTCTTCTAAGGCAGCAACGTCGATAATGCTCTGCAGAAACGCAGCTGGCGAATTAGCCCCAGTATACGTAGTATATAAAGCTGAGAATATGTAGGGGACGTGGGCAGAAAATGGTCCTCCACAAGCAAGATACAATCGTACCAAATCTGGTTGGTTTTTGACGCACGTTGTTTTGACGATTGGTTTGAATACACGATGCTGCCTATACTTAAAAAACAAACCGGTAAAAAAGTTTTGATTGGAGACAATCTCAGCTCGCACAGAAGCCCGCAAGTTATCTCTTTATATGAAGCCAACAATATTGCGTTTATTGCTCTGCCTCCAAATGCTACGCACTTACTTCAACAAATAGAGGTAGCATATTTTCGTCCTATGAAAATAGCATGGAGGAAGATACGAAACGAATGGAAAAATAATACACGTAATAGTAGATGTTTAAGTGTGCCGAAAGACCAGTTCCCGATGCTCTTAAAATAAATTTTCCAAGAAATAGAAGCCGTGTTGGCTTCGCAAAATTTAAAATCTGGTTTCAGAAAGTGTGGTTTGGTCCCCTTGAACCGAGATTATTGCAAAGAATGCCAAATCAGCAGCTGGAGGCTACTGTCCCAGTTCGTGAATTATTAGGGGAGAGTTTTCTGGAGAATTTAAGATGCACAAGAGTGCAAGTCACTGAAACAAGGGCTTATCGTAGAAGGAGACGCATAAACGTTCCCCCGGGTAAAAGTATTACAGCTGCAGATGTAGTAGAGGAAGAAACAACAGGTCGAGATATCATTTTGTCTTCTCTTCTTTCGGATTCTGATCAATCTTCAGAATTTGTTATGGAGGCATCGGGAACATCAAGGAACATCGAGAATGTAGATTCCAACCAGGAGACAGAAATAGTAGCCCCTACTATCTCCCCATCATCTACTAAACGCGAACGTAACTCAGCAGCTTATGCATACCAGAAAAAGGAACTGATAACGTTTGAAGAAAGTTAAAACAAATATCATGACTTTCAAGGTGTCAACCTTATGCATTTAAATTCGTGCAACAAGAATACGATTTAAAGAAATTCGTCAATGTTGATATTGACACGCCAGAATCACAAGAATTAATTATCAGTTACGAAGGCGGGTCAATAAGTCCGTGACTTTTTGAATTTCTGACCTCTTTACTGAAAAAGCAACACTACTCCTGTCAACAGGCATCTGTCAGTTGACTCCTGACAAAATTTGAACTTGCTGCGTCAGTTAGTTTGTGTTTCACAGCTATCTTTATCAGACTACCCAGTAATTTGAGGAAAAAATGGAAAAAAGTGAGTTTCGTGTACTTATTAAGCATTATTTTTTGCGAAATAAAACCATTACCGAGACCAAGGCTAAGCTTGATAAATACTATGAGGACTCTGCACCATCGATTTCAATGGTAAAAAAGTGGTTTAATGAATTTCGTTGTGGCCGTACAAGCACTGAAGATGCCGAACGTCCTGGACGCCTAGTTGAGGTCTCTTCACCCGAAACAATCGAAAAAATTCACGATATGGTGTTGGCCGACCGAAGATTGAAAGTGCAAGAGATTGTGGAAGCCGTAGGGATCTCGCATGGCTCAGTGGTTTCAATTTTGAATGATCACTTGGGCATGAGAAAGCTTTCTGCAAGATGGGTGCCGCGATTGCTCACAGTCGACCACAAACGCAATCGTGTAACAACTTCACAGGAAGGTTTGGCGTTGTTTAATCGCAATATGGAGGAGTTTTTGCACCGTTTTGTAACCGTGGACGAAACATGGATCCATCACAACACACCAGAGACCAAACAACAGTCAAAACAGTGGGTTTCTAAGGGTGAATCGGCGCCAAAGAAGGCCAAGGTGGGTTTGTCAGCCAATAAAGTTATGGCGGCTGTCTTTTGGGATGCACGCGGGATAATCCACATTGACTACCTTCAAAAGGGAAGAACAATCAATGGGGAATATTATGCCAACTTATTGGACCGATTCAATGACGATTTGAAAAAAAACCGACTTCATTTGGCCAAGAAAAAAGTTCTTTTCAACCAAGACAATGCAAGGGTGCACACATGTGCAGTTGCCATGGCAAAAATCCATGAATTGGGCTATGAATTGCTCCCTCATCTGCCCTATTCTCCAGATTTGGCTCCGAGTGACTACTTCTTGTTCCCAAACCTGAAGAAATGGCTTGGTGGAAAAAGATTTGACTCCAATGATGAAGTCATCTCGCAAACAAAGGCCTATTTTGAGGACCTCGACGAATCATATTTTTTGGAAGGGATAAAAAAATTGGAGAAGCGTTGGACAAAGTGTATAGAGCTCAAGGGAGACTACGTTGAAAAAAAAAAGATTTATTTATCAAAAAATCTGTGTTTTATTCCAAAAGTCACGGACTTATTGACCCGCCCTCGTATGATGGTCTAAGTCGAATCGAAACATCTGTTGATTCATGTGATTGTACCAAATTTAGAAGCATGACTTTACCTTGCAGGTAACAACTATGCATATAACACTTATACTAATACTATTTATAAATATCGCATCCAAAATTCCAAAAAAATATATTTAAGTAACTAAATAGGGGTTTGTGCCAAAAGGGCGTATAAAAAATAAAATTCTTAGTAAAAAGTTGATAAAAAGCTCTACAAAAAAATAAATTTACATTTTTAAGCTTAGAATATGTTTTCAAAACGATTGTCAAAAAAATTACACAAATTCTTATCATTTTATTGGTGTTTTCAGGCATATATTTGCTGTTAGAAAACTGAAAAATATTGATCTTTAAGAAGAAAAGATTTGCTTGGAACGTTGGACAAAAAAATATTACTTTAAAACTCAACGAGTTTTAAAAAAAAAGGTTGTTCAAGCTGAGATACCAGAATGTATTATTTCATCACATCAATATCAAAGAAAAATTCTTTCTCAGCACGAAAAGTTTAAGAAGGCATCACTTTTAATAAAAAATCTTCCAGGCTTAGTTGCAGAAAAAAGTAACGATTTGTACTTACGAGTACAACGGATGAAAAATTTGAGTGATGTACTCGATGCGTATAGAAATGGTGAAGAGATAATGATTGTTCGAGTTAGTAATAATAATAATAATAATCAGCCCCCTAAACAACCACACGTCCTGATTGACCATCTAATCAGGACGTGTGGTTGTGGGGGGCGGACACACGAATGAGAAATTACTGTCGTGGCTAACGTGGCTCTGGAAACCCATTTAAAATGGAGAAACGTTCAAAAAGAAAACGTATAGGACCGCTGCCCCGCCGGGGCACATCTGGAGCTGACGCTGGATGTCTCAGCATGCGAACAGTCAGCGGTGTGGAGTTGAGCAGGCGGGCTTCCGCCGACAAAAATGCCACAGCCGAAACATTTGACGATGGTACCAGACTTAACAATAGGATAAATACACCTATAGAGCCATATAGCCCAAGCACAATATCGTACACACCATCTAGATCATCATCACCATCTATACCATCGCCAATGTTGCGCGGGAGGTTCGTATGAACGTAAAAACTAGAGTTCGTATGAAATGGACAAATGACGTAAACATATCGACGGTAGCTATTAACAAAGTCGGAACTACATTTTTGGCGATTTTGTTTTATTGCACCTATAGTCTTAAATATCTAGAACAATGACCTCGTAAAATTTGTAACTTCAAAATAATTGGTATCATAGTTTTTCTAGATTAATATAGTCGGATCTTTTAAGAGTGTCCGAATTATTATGTAGCTAGATATGTTACTACACAGTTCGCGGGGCGAGGGAGGATCGCATGGGCCAGCGCACCGCGGATCTGCCACTTCGTTCATTGTTAACGGATCGACTGCACGCGAGTGTTTCGTATTTTATTTTAATGTTTTACGTAAATAGTATAGTATTTGGTATAAATAACTATGTCTCGATCTAGATTTATGTTAGATTTAGTGCAACATCATGTCCCAGCTCAAAAGATTCATGTTGAAACAGAAATAACTGCTAGTGGTGTTCCAACTCGTTCCAGCTTATAGCTCGTTCCTATATAGAAAATGCATTTGCTTGTAGTTTTATATTGAAATCACATTAAAAACTCCCATGAAAATGTAAACTTCAGAATTTAGCGATTAAGACTGTAGTATGTGCCAGATCCTACATTGTTAACTGATTATTATTTTATTGATTGTGTCGGATGTACCACATTCTACATTGTTGTGTGCTGTAAGTTCGTACATTTTTATCGGATATGGTACTACCGACTTTGTTATTCGTTCCTCTTTTACACGTTTTTGTCGGATATGTTACTACCAACTTTGTTCTTCGTTCCACCTACACTAATATTTGTCGGATATGGTACTACTAACATTGTTAAACGTTCTTATTTTGAAAGCGTTTGTCGGATATGGTAATACCAACTTTTTAAACTGTACTTTACTAAATTTTGATGTTGGATGTGTTAGTCCAGACTTTATTATTTGATAACAGTTGTAAAATATAGGTTGGATATGGCATATACTGCAAAGTTAAGGGAGACTTGGCTTATTTTTTCGTGTCTTATGTGACATTTTTAACAACCCAAAGGGGTAAACCAGCAAACAAGTTGAGGTTTGGTCCTCCCCATAATGACTGTGATTAACCGCAAACTTGCCAATCGATGAACAGCTTTACCCATACCGTGGCCGTACTGGATTCACTCAATATATACCATCGAAACCAGCTAAGTATGGTATAAAGATCTGGTGGATTTGTGATGCGGAAAATGCATATCCTTTGCAAGGGATTATTTACACAGGTAAAACAGATGGCACTCGGAAAAAAAAACAGGGTGAAAGATTAGTGAAAGAATTGACGTCTCCGTATCGAGGTAGTGGTAGAAACGTCTGCATGGATAACTTCTTTACTACCCTACCCGTTGCTAAACATTTGTTATCGTGGAATATTACCATTGTTGGCACGATAAAAAAAAATAAACCTTACATCCCTAGTGTTATGGGAGCAAATAAGCCACGGAAGCAGTATTCGACAGTTTTTGGATTTCACGAAAGGTTACCATGTGTTCTTATGTTCCTAAAAAAAATAAAGCTGTCATTCTGTTATCTACAATGCATTCAGATGCATCAGTTGGTGATGACGCTAAGCAAAAACCAGAAATTATAAATTTTTATAATAAATATAAAGCTGGCGTTGACACAATGGACCAAATGGTCCGGAGGTACACAAGTCAACGACGATCTTCGAGATGGCCAATGGCATTGTTCTTCAACATGCTAGACATTTCTTCACTTGCATCATATATAATTTATTATTTTTATTTTTTTTATTTATTTTTTACGCAACCCCCATCGGGGGAAGCTCACGTTCATTACTCCCAAGGAAAGAAAAGCAATTTCTCAGTCCGAAGGCCCAGAGGATCCCGTGGACGTGGATCGAGGGGAAAACTCAACGATAGATCCACCGGCTGGCGTGACAAGCAAAACCAGTCGACCGAGGCACGACAAGCAGCTTTACGGAATGCACGATTTGATCAGTTTAACCCACATTCAACAACCGATGTAGTTCCAACAGCTAATACCACTAATCCACAACCAAACTCATTTGAGTATTCATCTGTATATAATTTATTACGAAAATAATAAAATGATTGTCAAAAAAACGACAGAACGTCGTCAATTTATGCGGAAGCTAAGTGAAGAACTAGCATTGCCGATGATTGAACACCGTACGGCGAATCCGCAAGTAATGCGTCACTTCTCAACAAAGATTGCTGTTGAAAGTATTTTAGGTCATGCACTAGCAGAAACAATCGAGATAAATCCTGGTCCAGTGGTTCCAAAAGATAAAACCGGAAGAAAAAAAGTGACAGGATCTTGTCATGTGTGCAATGCCTTGCCAATAAAAAGACGACGAAAGACTCGTAAGAGCTGTGCCAATTGTCACCAGCCAGTATGTGATGAGCACTCAATTAATCTCATACAATGTGTTAAATGTCAGATTTAATGTCATTAATTATAAAAAAATGTAATGTTTCTTTATTTTTTCAATAAAATTTAGTTGCAACCATTTATAGAGACCATTTTCAATTTTTTTTCTATACTTTCCATTGTGGGTACCCGGGTACCCGGTTGCTAATGGGGCGATAGCTGAAGTTTAAGCTTATTTAAAAAAAAAATAGTATAATTAAATGCACTCACGACTAGCTTTCTTTTGAGTTAAAGAACGACGATTCGAGAGCTTAAAATAAAATATTAAATTTTCTTTGAGCTATTCATACAAATACACCGCGGTGGGTACCCGGGTACCCGGTTAGTAACACAAGGGTTAGAAAAGCCTCACATTAATACAATAGCGTCTAACAATTTATGACATCGGATCTGCAGAAGGTCACTATTATGTGTGGGACGAATGCATTGGCAAAAACGGCCCTAACGAAATTGCTAGCTTTCTATTCGACTTTATAAAACAGAAGGCTTCACAAGGTATAAAAGAATTCCGATTCTATTTCGACTGCTGCGGTGGCCAGAACAGAAATCGAATCATATTTCTAATGTATGCTTATGCTCCAAAAGTATTTGGAGTGAATATTAAACACAGTTTCTTTGAAGTTGGCCATTCCCAATCAGAAGGAGACTCAATGCATGCTCTTATAGAGCCACGTAAGAAAAATCAAGTGGTTTATGTACCACAACAATGGTAACTATAACTCTCATACGCTGTGCTAAAAGCACAGGCAAACCATACGCCGTGAAAGAGGTCAATCAAAATGATATATTTGACTTCAAGTCGTTGCTGAACTTAGTTCCGAATTGGGAATTGGACAAGGATAAAATGAAAATGATGTGGTCGAAAGTCAATTATATTGAAATTAATATGCAAAGTCCAAATATTATAAACTTTCAAAATGATTTTTATAGCGATCAACTAAATTGGATTGATTTGGACTACCACAAAGTAAAGACCAGACGACTGAATAAAAATAAAAATTTGGACACGTTGTGGAGTCATACTTTAGTTATAGCGTATAAAAGCTTACACCCAATCACTCAAAGCAAATACAAGGACTTGATGAGCTTATGCTCCAGCGGTGCAATTCCAGAACAATACAGAATGTTTTATGTAAACTTGCCGCACTCAAACACCGTTACTAATACGGTTGATTTAGACATTGAAGACTAATTGTAGCTATTTTTACCATGCTGGTGGTCTGTGTAGTTCATTAAAATATGTATTACACATTGATTTTTATTATTTTCTTTAATAGTACTTTCTTTAATAGTACCATGCTTTTTCAACCAAATGTAACATTAATACACGTTGTAATGTTGCTTACAATATTATTCAATAAATATTTTCCTTTTGTCAGTAAAATACGTGATTGTAAAATAAGTTACAATTAAATACGCTGAAAAATACTTTCAAATGTTTGCATGACCCCATTGTAATGTTAGTTACGATGATTTTCATTTAAAAAATACTTAAAATCTGTACATTGTAACATTGCAAAAGTTATACTTGCAGTTGTTTTATCAAAATGGCATATATATTATTTTAAAAAGCAATGAAAATCAGTGTATGACACTGTAACGGTGCATTTCGCACCATTACAGAAAATTTACTTATCGACGTGTTTTTGGTTTGACAGTCGAATTTTATGACGTTTCCGTAAGCTACGATTGACGGTGTCACGGACGAGATTTAAAGTCGGTGCTAATCGACTATTGTAATGTATCGATTTTGGTTTTTTTTCTTGTTCTGGCAACATTTTTGTCGCGTTCTAGGTAGAAGCGGAACTTTGGCTCTGACATGGGTTGTTCACTTTGGTTTTGAGCCCGTGTGAGATTAGACAGGGCGAGAGATTATAATTTTTTTCATTTGTAATCCATTTTTATTTATTGTAATCAGAAGAATAATTAATCTTTTATTGTTGGCCAGTCTCGTTAAGCAACCGAGTTTTTTATTGGAAATATTGGATTGCTTTTGTGGTAAGTTTTAATAAGCCACGTGGTTCATACTTGGCTTATGGAGATTAGTTGTTTTAAATCTTTGTTTATTTGGTCACAGGAATTTTTAATAATGCCTCTGATTTATTTGTGAAACGTTTTGGAACCCTGGTGAGTAAATTATTGTATCTTACCAGATTTAGAATCCATCTTTTGAGATAGGCAAATAACCTATAATTTTCGTTGTTGCAGAGAAACAGGGTTTTTCCTTACCTTATTTTTTTTTCGTACCTTACTTCAGTTCTTTACTTAACCTCTAGTTTAATTCTCTTATTAGATTGTAATGTCCTTACGTTACAATTAGTTTTTACCTCATTACCCGCCGATCCAAGGATTTAGTTTGCTGCGGAGTGTGTGTACCTATAATGGCAGGAAAAGTAACCCCCCCCTCCCCCCCCGCCACTACCACCACGTGGGAGCACGAGTGAGGTTTATAAGAATTAAGTTTACCCTAGTTTCATACGGACAGAGCCAAAGTCATTGGGTACGTTTTTTATTGTATTAATTTTGATGGCGTTGTCATAAGGTCTTTATGACAACTACCCTTAGATTCTTTACCTATTTATCAGTCTTTATTTGACACTTTAAAATATTTACTTTTAATTTGTTTTAACAAGGTAAACAGATTGCATTAATGTCAGTACTAATTTGAGTATGTATAAGAATTACATTTGTAATTAGACCTATAAGATACCATGTACTCTCTACAGACACTACGGGATAATAAACTGCCACTTAAACTTATAACATCTTTGTATTTAATAGCTGCCCCCCATCCTAGATTAAAGGTCTAGCGCTGACCGAGCTGTTCGAGGCATTCATTGTATTTGTTATTAGTTGTCTGTGTTCATGGAAGGTTAAGGCACCTGGCGCCCGAGATTATTAGTTTTGTTAGAATTTGTGGTGCCACCAGTTAGTTTATTCATTTATTTGGAACATAGATAACATTAACATTCACATTAACATAAAAAAAAACATTTTTTTTTTAATTTTTTAAAATTACAACACCTACAATTGTATACACTATAGTACGGCCGCTGAGTTATTACCGATTTGACAGATTATTCTTAAATTAATCGATATAACCTTGCACGAGCGATCATTCACGAATCATTTGCCGAAAGATTTAGAATACCTCTTTAATATAAAACTTTATGTCAAAATGTCAGAATCAAGTAATTTTCCAATAAACTCTGTTTCAAAACTTAAAATAGTTTGTAAATAATATGAAAACATTTATTTTTTGTTCTTTGGCGCGCTTGTACAAAGTTACATCGTGCGTCTAGTTTTCATAGTGATGTGCTTGATAGTATTCGGTCCGAATTCATTGGAATAGATATGATATTTATTTTATTTGGATATTTTTATTTTACTTATTCCTTCGAGCAACTAGACTAAATATAATACTACCATTTTTTTGCGTCTCCTAATTGCACTGTGTTGCCAGTATCTTATGATTTTTAAGATTTATGTGTGATCCAAAGACAGAAATACTGTTTTCTATGATTTAAAAATAAATACAATTCTGTGATCATAGATCAGACAATGATAAGTGCATTTTTGCTCAATATGACTTATTAATAAAGGTATAATCGCCAAAAAATGCTCTTTCATTTGGTCACATCAGGATAACTACATGCAAAATATTACTGTTGTATTGAATACTAATCAGATTATGATAACTTTCATATTTCAACTTTTGTTTTGGTCATATTGCGTTAAGTGATTTTATTTAGATCTGACCGAAAGGACAATGCGCTTTTTATTGATCAGAATATGACAAAAGCGCACTTATCAACTTATGATCAAAAATTACTTGGTTAGCGGGAAACATGTCATAACGTGTCGTGTCACTATTGTTTCGCGTACCGCACATTTCATAGTTTATTGTTAGTTTTCGTTATTACGCCGGTAAAAGAACATTAAGATAGGTTATAATTACTGTTAAAATGATGAGTGCTCGCTGTAAGAAGTTGTTGGAGTTAGCTATGAGACAAGAAGATCCAGAGGTATGTTTATCATTATTTTGATTGTTATTTTATTCAAATCGCGTCAGTGTGCATTGCGAGAGTAAGTAGGCATTTTAGTGAGCAATATCGTAATAGTTGATATGACTGTTTGTGCCTAGTATATTATATAAAATACTGGCACCCGGGCCTAACGTTATTTTTTTTTTCATTTTAGGATTTAGCTGTGAAACAATGTATGAGAGAACGTACTCCATTAGCTCAGAAGGATATCTTGCAATCTCTACCCGGCCCATCAGGTAATCGAGCTAATAGTTCTGATCGTACTTCTCTCGGTCAAGATTATAGTTCTGATGACGATGTGCAGGATTGTAATTGGTTACCTGCTGGTACACATGTAGAACACGTCTCATCATCGTCATCTAGCAAGACATCTACCCCTAGAAGCATTAGAAGCATTGCGGTCCCAGCATTGGTTTCTCAAACACAGGATGACGTTAGAAGAAAAAGGAAGCGTGGTGTCGGTATGATGCAAAGAAAACTCCGTAAAGAAAGAACAGAAAAAATTAAAAAGGGGGAAGAATACATAAATCAAGCTGGGAAAAAAATATTGGGTAAATCTGTAGGTGTACTAAAAGAATGCAGATTAAAATGTAAAACAAAATTTACGAATACACAATTACAAAGAGTTTTTGCGGATTATCGCGCTATGGAAACAAGAGATATGCAACGTTTACATTTGAGTAACCATATATTATTAACACCGCCAATTAGAGTTAAACAGGTTGAAATCAAAAAGAAAAGAGAAGTAGCTGTAGAGTACTTTATTGAAAATGAAGGTAATTTAGTAAAAGTTTGTCAAAACTGTTTTCTTAACGTGTATGGTGAGAATCGTGGTTTTGTGAATGGCATAATTGACAAGAAGAAAAAGTCAGCTACAGGTATCATTGGACGGGATGAAAGAGGCAGACATGAGCCAAAAATTAAACATTCAAATGAAGCAATTGATTATGTACGTAATCATATTTCTAATTTCCCTGCATACGAAAGCCACTATTCAAGACGACACACTACGAAAAAATACCTGGAGACTGGGTTGAATTTACAAAAAATGTATAACTTATACCTTGACCAACATACCATGGACAACATAACTACAAAAATAGTCAGCCTTTCTACATATAGTAATATTTTTAAGACATTCAATTTAAAATTTAAAAAGCCACATAACGATACTTGCCATACTTGTGATACATTTGTAGCAAAAATAAAAATTACAATAAATGACTCTGAGAAAACGAGACTACATGACGAACATGTGTCTCATCAGGATAAAGCAAATTTCCATTACGAATGTAAATCTTTCGATAAACAACGTGCCAAGTTATCAGGAAATACTATCGTTGTCGCTGTGTGTGATTTACAGCAGTGTCTCGCTACACCATACTTAAATACTAGTGTAGCATTTTATAAAAGGAAGCTATGGACTTTTAATTTCACAGTCAGAAATTGTAACACAGGGAAAACTACTTGCTTCATGTGGCATGAAGCTATCGCGCAACGTGGTGCTGACGAAATAGCATCTTGCCTAAAAATGTTTATAATGAGTTTGCCCGAAGAAACAGAACACGTTATTATTTATTCAGATACATGTCCCGGGCAAACCCGCAACAATACATTACCTGTTGTATATAACTACATACTTACGCAGAAAATTGGTTTGAAGACTATAGATCACAAATTTTTAGTTCCTGGTCACACACATTTAGAGTGTGATGCTGACCATGCCTCAATCGAGCGTGCCAAGAAGAAATATAATGGAAGAATTTCAATTCCAAATGACTGGTACATGCTTGTAAGAATGGTCAGCAGTAAGTTCACTGTGATAGAGTTGTCACAAGATGACATTTTTGCATTTTCGAGCATTCTAAAGCAGTCGCTTATAAAGAAGACCAAAGATCAGAATAACGATCCTTTTCTGTGGCGTAATATATTTTGGATACGTGTCGAGAAAGAACATCCTTGTTTCTTTTCTTTTAAATATTCACTGCGAGTGGAAGACGAGTTTAAAATATGTGACATAAAGAGAAAAGCCAGAGCCAGTCGAAATAATCAGCCTTTAATGGATATTCGTAAGGCGTACAATCGGCCATTATTAATAAGTAAAGAAAAACATAAGGATATTTTATCTTTATTACAGTACATTGAT